TTGGGCTTCTCGGGCTCTCGAGCAGACGTCCAGAGTAAGCGCACAACGATGGAAGAGAAAAAGACCGCCGTGTCTCTTTTCCTCTACCATAGAAAGTTGCCGGTCACAGGTGCTGGCGAAACGTTAGGAAACAAAACTTCCAGAACACGGCCACACAGCCCGGAAGACCCACACCAGCCATCAAATACATTGCTCTGCCAAGTGTAGGAATTCAGTTAAAGCATTCCCACCAATGTCTGCCTATCATCTGCTTGAACACTTTCTGTGAATGGGAACTCATGACTTCCTTTCTGATTAATTCCACTGTTGAGCTGATATGGCTATTAGGAAGTTTTTCCTAACATTCAGGTAAAATCTGCCTTCCCGTACTTAAGACCAGCACACTGACACAATGTAGTCTTGACCATCTTCTATGTAACATCCTCAAGTTATTGAAAATATGCTAATGTACCTCTTCAACCGTCTTTTCTCAAGGCTAAACATGCTTACCTTATTCATTTTGTTCTCATAAAATTTTTGATCCTCTAATCTTTCCCATTCTCTTTCTTTGCACCTGGTAGTTTCTCTGAATATTTCTTAAAGCTGGTACAGTACCTAAAATTGGGTATAATACTTGAGGTGGGGGTCTGACTAATGCAGAATATAATAAAACGATTTCTTCTTGTGATTTGGAAACTATATTTCTGTTGATTGTCAAATTACAGCTGCCTTTTTAGCAGACATATCATGCTACTAAGTCATATTCAGCTTATGAACAACCACATCTTGAAGATCCTTTTCACATATACTTGTACTAAGCATGGGGGCATCTTCTAACTTAATATTTGTGAATATTGTTTCTGAGTTTTAGTGTATATTTTAGCTAGCCCTCCCAATTTTGTATTATTTTCAGATTTGATAAGGATTCTTTCACCTCTTCATCCAAGTAATTAACTAAACAATTTCTCTTGTTCTGAGTTTATTAAACTTTTTTTAGTACAAGGTACTCAGGAATCACAGAATTAAATTCAGTCCAGATACTTCAGAAGGCTGTGCCCTAGGCAATTCATTTGGACCTGCCCAGCCAAAGTCCAACGCTGAACAAACCAAATGACATTATCCATCAGATAGTATGAATACTCCTTATTGCAGCTCTCTAGACAACCTGCAGCCCACCCTCCCAAACAGGGAACGGGTCACTCTAAACAAGACCGTTGGGTACCTATTGGTGGAAGCAATCAGGGTGAAGAAATAACAGTATTTCTCTACCCTTATCAACACGATGTAGGCACAGATATACATTCTTACTCTTGCTCGGTTGGATGTCTTTCTCCAACAGTGCTCTAGGCATTGCTTCTGGCATTTCATCTCCCAGAGGTCCTTGGGAAACCAAGTTCCCATTGGGATCAGCCCAAGGTGTGTCCCAGGATTGGGACACAAAGTTGTCTCTCAATCCCACCTAACACTGAGTTTTGGAATCTAATATCCCATTTTCCAATGGGTGGTGAATATATCATCAAAGCAGCATGCTTACAGACTTACCATCCTTGTTTTTCCCACTCTGGGAAATTATTGAGGGCTTTAGTTACAACTCTGTAGGCCCTTCTCTGCCCACTACATTTAATGCTGCTGGACATAATATGGATTGGATACAAAATGTGTCAGCTGCATCTGGAAGTGTTTCTTCTATCCATAGGAAGCTTCTGATCCAGAGGAATATCAGTGATGGAATGGAGGGCAGTGCAATATTAACTGATTTCACTCCTTCTTCTCCCAGGATACTTTTATGACTCTCAAAAGAGAAAAGATGATTATTGTTCTTATGACCTAATTTTAAGTATAACTGTGTATTATTGAATGAAAGCACGTTATATGATCTATGATCCTGTCTCAGTCATCTCTGAAATATTGTATTTCATCTTATTCTGAAAAATTAATATTCTTTTTTCTTTAATTGTTCAGTTGCAGGATTAGAATGTATGCTAGTTTGATTTACCCTTGGGTTGCATTTTGTTTATCATTTTTATATATTGCTTTTTATTACTGCTTTTTATATTTAACATCAACTTTTTAAAAGTTAAAAAAAAAAAAGCTGTTACTTTTCTCTGACAACACCATTTTGCTTCCCAGGATTTATGAACGTGTGATAGATCGCCCAGAAACAAATTTGACTCCAGGAAGCAATTTGTGGCTAGGACAACGCAATAGAAAACATGGCTTTTTAAAGGTAAGGATGCAAAACACAGATGAAAAAGCAATAGAATGAAACTTCTTGAAATACTCATTGCCATTTCAAAAGAACAGTTATTTTTCTCATTTAATGTGTATTTGTATCACAAAATTTAGACTCCTTATATGACTTCAGTTATTTCCACTGATTGTTGCAATATAGAATATCTATATACTACTAAAACTCTCATGTCTGTAACCTTCAACTGGGTGAAACAGTGTGTCATAGGGCAACAGTTTTTGAACCAAGGTATCTCAAATGGAATGTGTCCAAAATCCAGGACCCATTACTCCCATGGAATCGAAATTTGGGAAATTTGTAGCCGCTTCATCACTGCTGTGGTGCTGCACTGCCACAGTCAGCCCAGGACATGTGATCATCATGGGTATATCCCTGACCCCTTTCCCACCTCCCTCTGTCCCTTGTGCCCAATCAGCTAGTGACAAGGCTGACAGGCAAGCAGTGATTGGCTGCTTTGGAAACGAGGCAGAAATTTGAAATCTCTTAATGGTGGTGGGCATTGAGGGAAGGATGGGGGAGTGACTTGAATGCCTGCTAGTGAGATAGGGCTGGCTGGGGGGCACTGATGGTCACTGGGTGAGCCCTTTTCCTCCTTTGAGAGAAGGGGTCCAAGCCTATATTATATGTGGGAGGGAGGGAGGGATGGAGGGAGGAAGAAGGGAAGGGAGGAAGGAAAGGTAGGGAGGAAGAAGGAAGAAGGAAGGAAGGAAGAGGGAGGGAGGGAGGGAGGGAGGGAGGG